GCTCTCCTCTGTTTGTTTCATATGGCCCTGTGGCGCGAGAAAAAGAAGCCGCGTGTGAGTAGGACAGGGTGAGTAACAGGCCTAAAATAAATATTCCATGCCCCCCCCCCCTTTCTCCTCACCATCTCCATCTTCTTCCAATTCCTCCTCCTCCTCGTCCTCGTCCTCCTCCTCCTCTTCCCATCTCACCAAGATATCTGATGTTTGGCGGTTTCTCATCTCACTGTCAATTTTTTTTTTAGTGTCGTTCTCAAAGCACGTCTGTCTGAGCTTTGGAGTCTTTTTGTCCTCAGTTAATACTCCCGACCAATAGCAGCGTAAACTTTGATATTAAAACAAAAGCAGCTATTACTCAGAGCCGTGCTTTTTTCTTTTATTTCACCAGGCCGCTGATTGAAAAAGGTAGACATATCAGAGGGGGAGTTTTATTTTCATTTCACCAGACCGCTGATTGAAAAGGTCGACATATTATATTTTGGCTGGTTTTTTGGTGAACATATAAATCATACATATAAGCTTTGGCGGGACACGCGGAATCATTGAGCATTCTGGGCAACTCTTCCTTAGTCAAACAGCAGCTGCTGCGTCTCCGACCGAAGTTCCTACTTAGTAGCCCAGTCCTGGCGCTATGTTCTCTCGCTGTTTGTTTTCTTTCTTCCGGATACTATAATATTCTTTACTGGCGGAAGGAACCAGAAGTGTCTTGTGTGAATGTGGTTGTGTGTGACGCCCATTGGAGGTACTAACTAGATCTACGCCATTCAGGATAATTTCGGCAGGACACGATTAATGTTTCATGAGTGTTTTGCGCGCTACTTTCAGGGTTTGTTTTATTGTCTGAGAACGTTGTCACTTTGCGCAAGTTTGAATTCTACTTTTTTCCACCCCCCCAAAAAACCCAACAACAACCCAACAACAAACAAACAAACAAAAAATCACCCAACTAAACAAACAAACAAAACCCCCCAACAACAAAACAATGTCTTCCTTTAATTATTATTGATTCGTTCACTTTCTCGATTCCGTTGTTGTTGTTCACTTTTTAAATTTCGATTTAGTCTGTCCCTTTCGTTGTTTTTTATTTTTTATTTTCGAGGGTTTTTGGAGCTTCTTTTGTGTTTTTCGCTTTTACGAAAAAATAAAAGCTAACCC